TCACAAGCATAGCACGCGAAATGTGGCCCTCGCTCAGCATATGCAGCGACACTATGCGAGACAGTGTCGCAGCGCTTATTTTCACCGATGCATGGCCGATTAGAATATATTTTATTTATTTATAAAACACAGCTGTATTGACAAAGTAAAGATCGTAGGTATATAATAAGTATAATTAGACCGCTGTGTTTATCAAAAAGAAAGAAAGAAAAATTATTTATTAGCACCATAATTTGAGAAAAAAAAAATTAAAGATATCACTCAAATATTCACCTTTTTTATTTGATATGCCGGACGAGCTAACGGATTACCTGATGGTAAGCAATCAGCGCTCTCTTCGCAGACACTCGCAACTCGAAAGGTTGGCAACGTACTCGGAGCAATTCCGAGTACGTTGCCAACCTTTCGGAGATTAGGGATTTGAATATTTTGGGATTGGGGGAGGAGAGGGATCACCGTTATCCTCACTCAGGCAGCGAAACACAACGCTGTTTTTGTTTCACGCCGGTTTTCTGTGAAGCTGTGGTATCACTCCGGTTGAGCCGACCCGTTTGCGTTGAAGCATGGTTCTCCCTCGCTCACCAACAGAGTGGTACCTAACATTTTTCGGAAAACACTGCCTAAAGATTTCTTCGAATTGACTAAGATGTAGATCTTGGAGTAAGGTTAAGGTAATGATACATAATGGGTACCGTAAGTTCAGGTTACTTTACGACGATGAATCCGCTCCGGAAGTGACCGAGGTAGATTTGAGAGTGGCGGTGCGCCGGCTGAGCGGCAAGAATACCGCCCCAGGACCTGACGGGCTGCATGCCAAGGTTTGGGTCCTGGCCTCGGAGGCTCTCAGGCCTCGACTACTTGGTCTGTTCAGCGCATGTTTGGAGAGAGGCCAGTTTCCGCTGTCGTGGAAGACGGGTAAACTGGTCCTCGTGAAGAAGCCGGGGCGTCCTGCGGACTCTCCGTCCGCGTACCGGCCCATTGTGCTGCTCGACGAGGTGGGAAAGCTGTTCGAGAGGATAATCTCAGACCGCCTCGTCGGGCACCTGTCTGGAAGGGGGCCGGATTTAGCGGACGGCCAGTTCGGCTTCCGCAGAGGGCGCTCCACGGTGGACGCCATCATGCGCGTGAGGGACCTCACGACGGGGACAGCGTTGGCCGGGAGGCGAGTCGTCGTGGCGGTGTCTCTGGACATCGCCAACGCCTTCAACTCGTTGCCCTGGAGCTGCATTTTGGAGGCACTCCGGTATCACCGGGTGCCTGCCTATCTCCGTCGTGTAGTCGAGGCTTACTTGACGGACAGATGCGTCATCTACCCCGGTCACCGGGGCGTGTGGAATCGGCGAGAGGTGTCGCGCGGTGTCCCACAGGGATCGGTCCTGGGACCTCTCCTGTGGAACATCGGGTACGATTGGGTGCTACGCACCGACCTCCCGAGCGGCGTCAGCATTGTCTGTTATGCTGACGACACGCTGGTGCTGGCGAAAGGGAGGTCGCATCAGGCGGCGGCCGACCTGATGTCACAAGCGGTTGCGACAGTCGTTGCAAGGATCCGGCAGTTGGGACTCGAGGTGGCGCTCCACAAGTCCGAGGCCATGTGTTTCTATGGCCGTCGGAGCGCGCCACCTCCAGGTGGGTCCCAAATAACGGCAGGAGGAGTTACCATCGGCGTCGAGTCGGCGATGAAGTACCTGGGTCTCGTCCTCGACAGCCGATGGAACTTCACGGAGCATTTTCGTCGTTTGGCCCCTAAGTTAGAACGGTCTGGGGCCGCGCTCAAGCGGCTCCTTCCCAACCTCGGGGGGCCAAACGCCTCCTGCCGGAGGTTGTATATGGGGATTGTGCGATCCATGGCCCTCTACGGTGCCCCTGTGTGGGCGCAGGCCTTGAAGCGGCGGCCGGCTCGTACGCTGGTCGCGTCCCAGAGGGTCATGGCTATTCGAGTAATCCGCGGGTATCGCACGATCTCCGGGGAGGCGGCGAACCTCCTTGCCGGATCACCGCCGTGGGATCTAGAAGCGAAGGCGCTCGCGCGCGTCTACAGTTTGCGCGCAGACGCGCGTCGCCGGGGCGAAGATCCTCTGCCGCGCCAAATTAGTGCGTGGCGGAATGAGCTCCGGCGAGATCTCATGGCAGAGTGGAAACAACGACTGTCGCAACCGAGGGCCGGGCACGCTACCATAGCAGCGGTAAGACCCCTCTTTGAGGAGTGGCTTGAGAGACGCCACGTCGTCCTCACCTTCCGTCTGACGCAGGTGCTTACCGGGCACGGCAGCTTCGGTAGGTTCCTGTTTCGGATTCAGCGGGAGGAAACGCCCGAGTGTCGTCATTGTGAGGACCACCTAGAGGATACGGTGGAGCATACGGTAGCGGTATGCCCTGCCTGGGCTGAGCACCGCCGTATCCTCAGGGAAGTGATCGGCGGCGGCGACCTCTCGCGCCCGGCCTTAGTCGAGGCCATGGTGCGGAGTGAGAGGAACTGGGACGCCGTCTCCTCCTTTTGTGAAGCAGTCATGCTCGCAAAGAGAGAGGCGGCCCGCGTGAGGGAGCAATCCTCCTCCTTACGCCCCAGCAGCCGCAACTGGCGACACTACGGGCGTCGGGGATCGAGGGACGATCTCCGGCCACCGTATGTACGGGCCTGCGGTCGGCGAGTAAGGGCAGCTCGCCGCCCGACCAGAACCAGGCCCGAGCGTACGGCGCGTAGCGTTCCGCGCGCGCCTCAAAGAGCCAATAGACCACCACAGACGGGGCCCTAAAGGGCTGATGTTCAGCCGGGGTTGCGGGGTAAGCGCAATGAGGTACCGCGACCTCGGCACAGAGCAGGAGAAGGAACAGGGGGGTTTTTAGTCAGTAAGAGTCTGACACTCCCTCCTGCCCGGCCCTGGGCGGGAGAAGTCATTTGATGATTTTCCCCTCACAAAAAAAAAAAAAAAAGTTCAGGTTACTTTGACCCTGGGAGGTAACATTGATCCAAATTTTCGAAGCATTGAAAAACGAATATACGTTTCGTTCTAAGTTATTATTGGTTAAGGGGTTTGGATCAAAGTTACCCCGCAGGGTCAAAGTAACCGGAACTTACCCGATAGATTTTTTTTATGGTATAAGTCGGCAAACGAGCAGACGGTAATGGTAAGCAATCGGCGCCGCCCATGGACACCAAAGGAGTTACGAGTGCGTTGCCGGCCTTTTGGGGATGGGGGTTGCGGATATAAGGATTGGGAAGGGATAGGGGAAGGGGAGGGATTGGGCCTCCGGTAACCTCACTCACACGGCGATACTTTGGTACACGGTATTTGGAAACTTGACAACTTGTTGAATTGGGTGGTTTCCTAGGTCAACAATAAATTAATTCGAAGTTTCAATAGGTACAATAAAATATTGAAAAATAACTTTTCTTTTATTCATCGATCGATCGATACACTAGGTTTTAGATTTTTTTTAGCTAATTATTAAGAAATAAGTAGGTAAGCTATTTGACGCAAAAATGTTATGACGTCATAACTCAGTTTTTCATACAAATTTCATAGAAAAGTATAGTTTATGACGTTTGGATAAAAGTATTGAATTTGACTAGTTGGAAACTACCGTATTGAATTATTTTTTTTGCATAGGTACTCATATTATTGTCAAAATCGATAGTTTTCTGTGACGTCATTGTTGTGTTTCTGTGACATCATGTCTTTTATTTACGTCATACAACATTTTTAAGGAGGAACTTATTTCATGATATTGAGTAATAAATATTAACAAAGAGTGAGTGTATATTATCGGAAATATCATTCTATTAATAGATATAAATTTATTTATGTTAACCGCAATAAAACTGCCCAATTACAGCCTCTTGTAAATAAGGAAAGAAGAATCATAATGAAAGAAAAATGCTTTTATTTGGCATCAGACCAGAAAGCCAGAAACAAAAAAATACAACATTAAAAAAACCAATTAAAGAAATTAAAAAAAAAACAGAGAAACAAAAGGTAAAATAGAAAATAAAATTCATCAAAATAATAAACAGTAAAACAGTATTGTTGACACTTCTCTGCATCACCCTTGAAGTTGACTGGTAGAGACTCCGCCTTTGTATTTTTAAGTACCTACATAAAGTGTTAAATAAATAAAACAGGCTAATAATAATGGTAAATATACTAATCAGGGTTGGCAGACAACCCCTAATCCAGTGTATTGGATTTCTTGTTTCAAAAGACCACGTGGACAGACAGGACTTTAACCGGAACAATTGTTCACAAGTGCTCCGGTTAAAGATCTGTCTGCGCAGAGGAATAAAATTCTCACCGCGTTGTATCTATCATAGATTTTTACTCGCAAATTTTCCAATGTGCTATAGAAGCCCTCTAAAACGCTTAACTTTGTAAAGAGAAAGAGTTTTTATTTTTTTGAAAGAGAGAATGATAAGACTATAAGGGAATCTACTCTCATAATTTTTTTTCCTCCTGACGATAACAAACTACAAAAAGGAAGAAAAAGCTAAATTAGTCCAGGCGCCATGCTTCGGCTTATTACAAAATAATATATATAAAAGTCAGCTTTTATACTAAAACGTAAGTAAAATTATAATTCCATCAACTTTAAGGTAATTTTAAGTGTGGAAGAGCCATGCTTCGGCATGAATGGCCTCGACCGGAGTGATACTACGGCTGCTCAGGAAACCAGCCTGAAACAACCACAGCATTGTGTTTCGCCGTGTAAGTAAGGCGCAATCCTTACCCTCACCCAATCAATAAATCTCCAAATCCCTATTACCGAAAAGGTTGGCAACGCACTCGTAATTCTATTGTTGCCATTAGTGTCCTTGGACGGTGCTGATTGCTTGCCTTCAGGTAACCGGTCACCTAATCTAACCTAACACATAAAAAACCTGAAACATTTTGAGATTCATTTACATAAATTTAATCAAGTATTTTTTTTATAATTCTCAATTCATTTATTACTACTTCTTGTAATCTCTTCATAATACATACATTACTAGTGATAATACATATCTTAACAGTTGCAATCATATCTAGTGTACACAGAAGACAGTACTACAGGCCCTGCGCACACAGAATATTACATCAATAAAGAAACGGGCCGCCCCTCCAGCGAGAAACTTCAGTGTGTTTCCACGAACGGAGGGAAACGATCGCTCGCTCGCAATGTTCTGAAATAAATACAAAAATTAATAAGCTCGGACGGTGTATAGAAAAATTAAAATAAAATTAAATCGAAAATGTTTGCCGTGTGGTTCCTTTTGGCGTTATGTGGATGCGTTCATGGATTCGCGTTACCTTTCGAAGGATTGTATAAATTGGATATTATTCACTACAATGATTTTCATGCTCGGTAAGGAATTTTTTTCGATTTTTTTTTTGTTTTATCTAGCATTTGTTTTGTTTTAAGGTTGAATTTCGTTTGTGAATTCACGTGAAAACGTTATTTCTGGATTTTATGTTTTTTTTTGTCGGATTGTCGGAATATTTAAAATATATTCGTATTGATTTCATTTTAGGGGTTATTTTCCTTTATTTTATCTTTAAGCGGAAAATTTTAATTTTGAATTAAGCAAATTTTTCCAATTTTGCGAGTTGACCTAGAAATACCGATTGCTAAAGGTCAAAGGTCAATAACATATGCGGACAACTGTAGCATCAAAAGTCATTAGATTTATATAATATCTCGTATTTTGGCATATTTGGAGCAGAGTGATTGAATTTAAAGCTTCTTAACCTACTAATACATTAATGCGAAAGTTCGTAAGTATGGATGAATGTATATTTGTTACTCTTATACTCAAAAACCGCTAAACTGATCTGTATAAAATTTCCACAGAGATAGATTATAGTTAGTCTGAAATAACATATAGGCTACCTCAGGTACCTACGCTAGTAGAAGTTAATATAAACTTTCAAAAAGTGACTATATGACTGAGACAAAAAATCGGTACCAAAGAGGTGATGTAAATATGACAGAGATTTTATGATTATGATTTTTTTTAAACTGTACAATTTATTTTTAGTTGGTACCTATTCAGTCTAAGATACAAATAAATAGCCGATAAATGTATGTAGGATATTGTATAAATAAAGTTCTATATTTAATTCTGTGTGGCATAGCTATTGAGATATTTTGAAACAAGTCCTTAACATCCAACTAAATACCTGATACACTTAATTGTTGTTATACATATTTATCGATTTATTAAAAATTCGCTATAACAGTACGTGGTCTGAAATTGTGGATATAGAGTTTTGTTTTCATCACCGTGCTGCACATTGTAAAAGTGCTGACTGTTGACCAAAGGCGCCTTTACCCACAGATCACCTGACATTCAGTGTCTGCCCACTATTGACTACTGTTATTCACAGAATGAGGTTTGAGCATTAATCACCAAGCTTGCTACAGGTGGATTGGCGATTTCAAACTTAAAATTTAGAGATTATAAGGTACAGGTTTCCTCACGATGTTTTCGTTTACCGTTTGTCAGTGGTGTATTAACACACTAAGAAGTTACGTAGTACTTAGAAAAAGCCACATTGTTATACTTGCTACTGGTACTTGCTAAGTTTCGAGTACACCCTTATACGTGGGAAGCGGGACTCTTGACCTCTACCGGCACCGTTACGGATAGATTTTTTCTTCTTTAAGTTTTTCTCCTGTATCGTGGATGCGTTTACAACACACAATTTTACATACAGAACATCATACCCGAACCCTTGTGAAACACACAAAGAGTTGTTCCGTGGAACCTGCAACACGTTGCGCGACAACCAGTTTCTCAGCCACCGCGCCAAACTTGCAGTCACTAGTCCTAGTCTTAACTTAACATTTAGTAATCTGTAACTTTTTTTTTATTATTTAATAGGTCGGCAAACGAGCAGACGGATTACCTGATGGTAAGCAATCAGCGCCGCCCATGGACACTCGCAACGGAGAAGTTACGAGTGCGTTGCTGACCTTTTCGGGATTACGGATTTGGAGATTTAGGGATTTAGGAGGGATTGGGGGAGGGGAAGGATTGGGCCTCCGGTAACCTCACTCACACGGCGAAACACAACGCTGTGGTTATTTCACGCCGGTTTTCTGTGAGGCCGCGGTATCGCTCCGGTCGAGCCGACCCATTCGTGCCGAAGCATGGCTCTCTCACACTTAAAAGTAACTTACCTAACAGTTTTTACAGACTTGGTCTTAACTAACGTTATTATATACCTACGGCTGTTTTCCCTTTGAACATCTCGTTTGCTCGTGTGTTTATCTTTTTTATCCATAATATATTTATTGCTATAGGTATTAATTGAAGTCGTTACTAAATTTATACTTAGATAATGATATTTGTATTTCTTTAAATATAAGTAAATAATTATAGACATTGGTAATGAATTAATGCTAATGAGTGTAATTAGGAACGTGATTAGGGTGTTTTAGGTAATTAATAATTACTTTACAATTATATTAGTATTAGTTTTTGCCCGCGACACCTTTCGCGTGGAATATGGAGTTCCTGTAAATTTTTGGTATAAAAACTATCCTATGTCCTTTCTAGAGTTCCAAACCATGGCTGTACCAAATTTCACTGAAATCGGTTCAACAGTTTAGGCGTGAAGAAAAGACCGACAGACAGAGTTACTTTCTCATTTATAATGTGAAGGTTGGATATGATATTAATAAAATAATCAATTTAATAAGTAATTTGTTGAAAACTTATTCTAAATTCTATGACTTTTGTTTAGCGGGTTGAAAATTTTTAAATAGACATCATATCATAACCCTAAAAGTGTTTACTGCTAAGCAAAGACTTCTTCTCACACGGAGAAGATTTGAGCAATATTTAGGAAATTAGAAGACTACGTTTTTTCTCGATACTTTCCTTCATCGTTTGTCAGTGGTGTCTAAGTACTAACTTAGAACGTACATTTTTTTTTATTTATTTATCATTTTTACAAATATTACAGTATTACTTATGTTAAATAGCAACCAAGAAACCAGTAACGTTTAAACTTGTGCTATAATGAATCATATCAAATCGAAAAAAAAATTTAGTTACAGTTTTATAATAATTATGTGTACGTTATTATCGAAATTAATTTACACAATCTTTGTGTCAATCAGTAGGATATAACTTGGAAAAAGTTACATAGGTACTTGTCCTGCCTTTTATCATCCCATGACTACTCCTGCCTTGGGATTAAGAGTTAGTTTCAGACTCTAACTTTCTTTCTTTTCTTTTTTAAAAAAAAACGTTGCCTTTTATTAGGATTTTTTCTCCTGTGTCGTGGGGGCGGTTACAAACATACAATTTCACATACATAATATGACACCCAGACCCGGAACAACAATTTGTGGTCTGACTAAATACTATTCGGTTCTTTTGCTCGGTTCCGGAGGTCATAGTACATAATGGTTCTTACACCTGTAACCATGGCTGGACGACGACCCTTGTGAGCGCCATCTCTGATATCCTTATGGCTCTTTGAGGTGCCCGAGGAAAAGAACGCGCAGTACGCTCGCGTGTGATTTTCTTCGGACGACCAGCTACCTTCAGAAAATGTATTGACATCTGCCATCACTCAAAGACGTGAATTTCACACAATAATCACATCATTTAAATAAACAGTAAGGTGACAAACAATATTAAGTCTTACGTTCATCATGATAAAGGCTAATCATATCTTCGTGGTGTACTCATTGCAATACCATCTTTATAGATAAGGACGCCTTATCAACTGTTAACAATAATACTGGTATGTCGTATGCATGATCCGCGAATTATTTAAAGAAGAATCATTGACTGCTTTATTTGTTACTAGCTACTCTCACGCGGTTTCACCCGCTGCTCGGCTCCATTTAAACGTAGCATGATGTTTTATTTTTAGCCTATATCACTAAGGAACATTATAGCTATCTATGAGTGAAAGAATTTTGAAAATCCGACCAGAGCGAGCGGTTCCAAAAATTACCCCCTACATACAAACTTACAAACATACAAATTTTACCTCTTTATAATATTAGTTTAGATGTTATATTATCCTATTATTCTCAAGCTGAATATTCATCATTATATTCGTTTTTTTTTAACTCTAATTTCGGTTCTGTTTGGAGCTTGGTATGCATAGAATAGCGGTTTTAGGCAGAGTTTTCTGTTACAATTATCAAAAGTAAGACTCCATGTATTATATTGCCTAGGTTAATGATCTATGCAATGCATAAAGTTTTATTCAAATCCGTCCATTAGTTCCGGAGATTCGTGTGTGTAAACAGATAAACATACAAGTGAACAGTTTTTTTTTTATTCATTTTTATCACAGTCACTGTTTTCTTATCATGTTGATTGTTGAGTTGAGACGACTTCTGGGAATTTTTGTTTTCTTGAAAAATATAACTATGTCTAGACTCCATTTTTTTGTCCTACTATTTAAGTATATAGGTAGAAAATATATGCAAATCTTCCCAAGAAGAAGAACTAGTCATCTTAACACTGAATTTAGCAGGCTTGTAGGCTGATTATGATGATGATGTGTGATCATCACATTTTTACACAAAACGTTATTTTCACTACCGTTTTGTGGTATAAAGTGAAATATACTCAACTAGCTTCCGTCCGTGGGCTTCCCCGCATAGTATGTTGATAAAAAGTAGCCTATGTTCTATTCCGGAGTGTGACCTATGCCTGTGCCAAACTTCATTCAGATCCGTCCAGCCGTTTTGGCGTGATTGAGTAACAAACATCGAAACATCGTAACTTTCGCATTTATAATATTAGTTTTTAAGAAGTTAGATAAGATATATATTATCAATTAATATAACGATTTCATGTAAATATTGTTAAAAATACAATATAACAAGCCTTTCAATTCCTTTTAACATTTAATTTAATGAACCAGATCAAAGAAACATGAGTAAATAATTGATCAGAGTCTTAACCTCGTAACTAATAATTATTTCTTATTTTAGTATTATTTTTAAATAAGAAAAAAATCGTTTCGCGTTTGTCTTAAAGTACCTTCAACACTATATTTGGAATACGTTTTTTTTTTTGTAAGTGCAAATCATGAAATTGCTTCTCTTCCAGGGTGAGGCAAGAGGGAATGTCAGACTATTACTGACTAAAATGGCTGATGACTGGATGCGGTAACGGGTCAAACGAGCAGAAGTAGACGGGTTTTAGTCAGTAAGAGTCTGACACTCCATTCTGACTCATCCATAGTGGTAGTAGATATTCAACGAGTAAGTCAGAAAATATAGAGAATTATGCCCTAGGAAAGCAGAATGCAAGACAATAGAAATACATCTATTATAATTAAAAATATTTGTTAAAGGTTCAATTCGATCTTAGCTATGACACAATG